AGGTTGGGCTCCTGGCTGGGTTTTCCTGACACTCCTCAAGTGCCCTTTGGAGTTTTCAGTATTGGTAAAGTCAGTAGTATGGGTGTGAAGGACTTCTTAGCATGTGCCCCCTGCTCCCAGAGGGACAAGGACCCTGTCACAGTGAGACATGAAGCATGACGCTTAGCCTCAGGGGCCCAGGAGCCACTCTGCTGGAAGCAGGATCCACGCCTACTTGCTGTGTGACCTTGGGTAAGTCACTTAACCTCTCTGTGCCTCAGAGTCCTCATCTAAATTGTATCTACCACATAAGGTTGTCACAGGATTACGTGAAGAAGTAAAGCACTTCAAGCAGCACCTGGCACCCAGCGGCGCTGGGAAGTCATCTCACGCGGTATGTCCTGGGTGCCTGCCTCTGGCTGAAGGAAGTCCTGGCGGCCCAGCACTCTGTGTGGATCCAGCCTCTCTGGGTACCCTCTAGAGAGCCTGGCAGTGTGATGATCTCGTTACCTGTGAAGGCAGAGAGCAGCCGCAGCTGGGAACCCCGTGTCTGCTCCAGCGCCCAGCTCTTAGAAGCTGCCGTCGCCGGGTGTGATGCAGACAGAACAAAGGCCGCTGAACAGCGCGGAGTGGGAAACATCACTTCAAATCTGGTTTTTCAAATCGCGTTATTTTAAATGCCCTGGGCGGATGCCCACGTGTGCAGGGACACTCAGCCTGTCCAGAGGCGCTTTGTCTCTTTGAAAGGCCTCATTGTAACCCCACACCGGCCCCAGTTGATACCCAGAACAACAGGCCCTTGTGTGGGCGCTGAAGGCAGGCTCGCTCCAGCCCACGGCTGGCAGTGCAAACCCTTTGCTGCCTCTTTAAGGTCAGCGTGAAGCAGCCTTCAATCTTCCGTTCGGGCTGCTTTGCAAAAATAGTCCTACAACCTGCGGGGGTGGGGGTACGAGACGCTTTTTAGAATTCGGCCCTCGAACGTTGAAGAGGCCCGGCTGCCATGAGCCGTGTCTTCTCCAGAAGGGAAGATCGATGGGGCTCTGTCCTGTGCAGAATCGGGGGCAGGAGCTTTGCTTCCTGGGACACCTCCCAGGCCACCCTGCCCTGCACGGGGAAGGCCACCAGGAGGATACCTCCAGGATCACCCCCTGAAGCAAGGGAGCCACAGCCTGGGAAGTCACAGGCCATAGCCTCCAAAATGTCCTGGTTGGATTTGGCTGGTAGCTACCGTTTGCTGATTGCCCTCTGGTGATGTGCCCCCTCCCCACACACGTGTCCATAATGAACCACAAGCCCCTTGGAGCTGCTCGAGGGCCATGGAAGGCAGGAGGGAATGCACTGATCAGATCACTGTCCAGTCAAAGCTACGCCAGAGCGCTCCCAGCCACTGTCCCAAACCCTCGCCGCACCCCGTCAGAAACACCCTTTCACCTGGCATCTCACCACTCTCTGTCATTTCCTGAGAGGCCAGAGGACAGACATGCCTGAGCACAGGTCAGCTGGAGCCGCCCTGGGGCGCTGGGCCTGCTCACTCATGCGGTCGTGTTTCCTGAGCACTGGCCCTGTGTCCCTCCTGGCACCTGGCCGGGCGCTGCATGTTCCTGGGTCCGTGGACAGCACACGAGCCACAGGGACGGTCAGGGGAGGGGGAAGCCCTTAGCAGTGACCCACGAGGCCCAGTTGGTCCAAAGCCCCCAGTCCTCTTCTCTGCTGGGCCCATGACTTGGTGGGGACGACAGTGGGGTGACTGACTATGGTCCCGCCTATTCTGCAAGCTTTGGCTCTGAGTCACAGCATACACATTGGCCTCTTCCTAATCCTTTCTCAGGCTTGTGGATAGATTTTTCTCTTTATTCTGTGAGCTTAAAAATACCCAGTTCCTCACCTTTGCAAAGTATCAGCCGGACTGTTGCCTTTGGCTCTGTGGGGGCTGCAAAGTGGACCCAGCAGCTACCTGAGCTGGCGTGGCCGTGGCTGCAGCTCTGAGCAGACAGCTCCTCTCCAGCAGTCACTGAGTCCAGGGCCTGGCTGTGGCCGTGGCCTGCTATAGGCCCTGCTGGTGGTCTGGGCTGGTGGTCTGGGGGGGTGGTCTGGGGGGTGTCTGGGAGGTTGGTCGATGGGGGCCGGTTGAGCGGAGCGTCGAGGGGCAGTCGGTGGTGTTCTGGGGGTGTTGGTCTGGGGTGGTGGTCGGGGGTGGTGGTCTGGGGGTTGGTCTGGGCGTGGTCGGGGGGTGGTCTGGGTGGTCTGGGCGTATGGGTTCCGGGTGGCAGTGATCTGGGGGGTGGTGGTCTGGGGCGCGGTCTGGGCGGTGGTCTGGGGGGTGGTTGGGGGGCGGTCTGGCGGTGGTCTGGGGGGGTGGTCTCGGGGGGCGTCTGGGGTGGGTCTGGAGTGGGTGCTGGGGGGCTGGTCTGGGTGTCCTGGGGTGTGGTCTGGGGGTGTCATGCGGTGGTCTGGTGGTCCTGGCAGGGTGGTCTCGGGGTGGTCTGGGGGTCTGTCTGGAGTGGTCTGGGGGGGTGGTCTGGGGGTGGTCTGGGGGTTGGTCTGGGGGTTGTTGGGTCTTGGTGGTGTGGTCTGAGGTGGTCAGGGGTGGTGGTCTGGGGCTATCCTAAGTGCCTGGCTTCATCACTCTGTGAAGGCCCCTGCCTACTAGCATCATGTCAACCACTAAATCTCACCGCCACTTCCTGGGAGGTGGGAGGACAACCAGCAACGAGGACAGGTCTGGGTGCCTTGAGGTCATATCAAGCCCAGGGCTCCAGGGCCAGAGGGAGGCAGCCCTCAGTCCAGCTGCACTTCTCACCACCTGCACCAGCCTCAGTTTCCCCGCCTGTAGGATGACGTGGCCACTGGGAGAATAACGGAAAGCTTTATATGGAAAGTGCTTACACAGTGCCTGGCACAAGACAGGAGCCCCCAGAATGGCAGGAAGATGGTAACACGGGAATGAATTTGGATCTTCTGGGGCAGTTGCATTTGATCCAAGTGAGGGCCACCAAGCAGGCAGTCTCTGAGTGTCTTGGGTGGCACCAGGCTCTGCCCTAAAGGAGGTCCCCTCCTGTGTAACACCCAGAGGCAGAGAGGTGAGGTGTGCCAGCAAGAAGCAGCTTTGGGGGCTAGACACCATCCCCCCAGTGGTCCCAGCACACGGAAGGTGCTCATTCGGTGCCCCTGCTCTGCAGCTCGCCTCACCCAGCAGGCTTCTCTAATGTCCCTGTTCCCAACCCTTCCTACCCAGGCATCGTGGGCTCCCAGGGGAGCAGCACCCATGGCTGGCAGGGCTGCCGCCAGCACACATGTGTACCTGCAAGCACAAAACAGCTGGACAGGGACAGAGTTGGGAACAGACATGTGGGAGCAAAGAAACCCGACAGGGGATGGGGGGTGAGCGTGGGGGGGTGAGGAGGAAGAGCAAGACCGGGAGGGGGCATTTTTGAGGCTGGAAATGAAACCTTGCCCATCCAATTTACATCCAATGTGAATAGGATGCAAGTCAAATGTGAAATGAAACTGCAGATTTAAAATATGCCCAGGGCTAGAAGGAATAAGAAAGTGGTGCCAGAGAACCATCGGCATAGCCTTTGGCTGAAGAAAAAATAGAGAAAGAGTATATGAAAGGTTTTTTAAAAAAGAGAGTGATTAAAATGTCAAAACATTGAGAAGCCCTTGGGAAACTAAGCCTTCCATTTCTCCTTCTCCTTCTCCTTCTCTTTCTCCTTCTCCTTCTTCTTCTCCTCCTCCTTCTTTATTGTTCTTTTTCTTTTTGATGAGGGTAAAAAGTGAGCTTCATTAACATGTTGCTGGCTTCCTGTGGACGGTTTTGCTGAAAAATGGGACTTCCCTCAATCAACCCTTGCTGGAAATTTTGTTAAACACGTAACAAACTTCCGATTACTTCTCATTTGTAGTTTAATTTTTTCAAGGTAAAGCCCCAATCAAACCTTTGGCTCATGATGTACTATGAAACGTTGGCTGTTTGAAGTGTACTTACTAAGAGTGGCTGGTTTCTGGTACCAGCTATCCTGGGTTAACAAAGGACCTCCTGAATAGACCAATTTAGTTGTAGAATCTCCAAGTTGAAGATGAGTAAAATGTCAACTGAACTCACCACTTGAGGCTTGAATTTTATTTATTTTATTGTATTTTATTTTAGAGACAGGGTCTTGCTCTGCTGCCCAGGCTGGAGTGCAGTGACACCATCACAGCACACTGCAACCTCGAACTCCTGCGCTCAAGTGATGCTCCCGCCTCCGCCTCCTGAGTACCTGGGACCACAGGTATGTGACACTGTTCCCGGCCTGAAGCTTGAATTTTTGCCTCCATGGCTGCCAGCAAGAGGTCGCAGATGCTCTGCCACACGCCTCCATGGCAGGAAGCTCACAGGTCTTCCAGCACCTGTTCCAACATCCCATCTCTGGAATGGCACTAACTGCTCGGAGCCAAGGGATAAAGGAGCGTTTACATAACAGAGCTGGGCTTTCCAGATCCCTAACGCAGTGCCTGCTTCCTAATCATCCCATCTCCTTTCAACCCAGACATCTCAGACCCAAAACGTGGCATTCACCCCTTGTCACTGTACTTCCTTTCACTCTGTAATCTCCTCTCCTTTCTGTCCTATGGAGTGGCCCGAGGAAATTCTAAAACAATGTATTATCCACATAATGGGAACAGAGCAGACGGCCCAGGAACATGCTGATGAGTGTCACAATGGAAGGAGGTTCTAGCGGGGCACAGACTGTTGCGTCTTGTAGGAAGGAGAAGCTGCCCCCGGCTGGCACTTGGCCTGTTTCCAGAGAGAGGGGAAAGCCATCTGGGCAGGTGGCTGGGAGGGTGGGCTCCCCAGCATCGAGCTCTGAGAGTGCAGTGGCCGAGCACACACAGTGTCTGTCATCTCAACTGCCACCTGATGCTGTCTCTTGAGATTCGGGTTAACTCAAAGGATTCCTCAGAAAGAAAGCTGAAACGATGGCATTCCTGATGTTGAGGAATTTAACCCAAGCCCAAAAAACACCCAACAAATGTACTGAACATAAAGACACTTTATAAAGTATTTCACAGGGTTACCATCTTCCACCTTGGACCTCTGGAAAGATCTGTGGGGTGAATTTTAGTCCCCATGACACACAGAACATCCGTGAAGACTTAAAACATGCCACAGGAGGGGACGCTCAGGAGAGCCTGTGGAAAATTCCAGCAGGTAGTTCTCGAGAGCTGGTCCAGGGGTCAGCAGGGGATCTGTGTTTCCTTCTCAGGTCAGGTCCCCACCTCCCACCCCCAAACAAGAAGTTCCCCTTTCACAGACAGGAGGTGACCCTAGCAGACAGCGCAGCGGAGGTTAGACGCAGCGAGCTCCCGCCCCGGACGCGAAGGCACACGGGAGAGTAAACGCAGCACCCACAAGCAATAGGGCAGGGCTTTTTTTTGTTGTTGTTGGGGGCGGGGGTGAGGGGTTGTTTTCTTTTTTTCCACCATCCAGGGCATTTCTGTTTTCTAAAAAGTAATGCCGGAAGGTGGAGCGGCCAGTTAACACCATCTGGGTTTTCAGCTCAAGTTCTGTGCGGCTTTACGAAGACTTCCATCTGATTAGAGAGAACACGGCGTGGACCACGTAGAGCAGAGTGGCTACGTAGGAGAACACCTGGAACCAAGAGAAATGGCCGTTAATGGGTTTGCGCAGGAGGGCGAGGCACAGCGTCTGCACTGCATCCAGCCTCACACGGTGCAGGGGCACCAGACCCAGAGAGCTTGGGCTGCCACTGCTTCTCATCCGTCACGTGGACGCCCTCCCTGCTGTGCACCACATCCTCTCAGTGCAGAGCTCCGTGTGACCTAACAACCGCCTGGACCTGGTGTGCAAGGTCAGACTCTCCACTCTCCACCCAGCATCACACTGGTCTCAGCCTGAGGTCTCGGCTGACCTGAGATGGAGTCCTCAAAGGCCCCTCCAATGAAAGCATCTCGGGCAGGTAACTTTCCAGGGGCAACGTCCTCCCCCAGCAGTGAGACCAGCACCCTCCAGCTGTGGTCCTGGTGGCTTGGTTGAGAGATTGTAAATTCCTGGGTTTGCTGGCCCTGGTGAAAGTCTCCGTTTCGCCTGGACGTCCTCGCCCGATCATTATTTTGTTTTGGGTTCTTAATGTCACAGGTGTGGCTGAGGGAGCCAGACTTCATAGGGAGTGAGGGACAGCGAAGGGGAGGAGGGAGTTTGAGCTTTTGTCGAAAGGAGGGGCCTTGCTGGTGGGACCATCCAGTCAGCCACTGTGGCCCCGGGAGCGATGGCCCTGCTCGCTGGGGACTTGCTGTGTCCTCCTGAGCACTGTCTGCTCCCATCGCCCCACTCCCTGAGGCCTGCCTGCTGCCGAGCCCAATCTCTGCACCTGGTTTTGTGACCTTGGGTGGAGGTCAAGAGTTTCCAGCTCGGGCATAACATCCATTGAGGGCGGCTATGCCTCTGTGACTCCTGAAAATGCCCATCCACCCCAGCCCTCAGGGCGCCTGCTCTCCTGCCTCTACACCCGGGCAAGCCCTTTCCCTCATTGCCCGCAGGCGGCGAGGAAGCCGAATGATTGAATAACACATTTAAGAGAGCGTATCTGGGGCAGGCAGTCAGACCCCAGTGGGCAGCCCTCCGTAGACGGTGGGCGTTCCAGACCAATGAGGGCCTTTGGCAGTAGCACCTTGGAAGTCCCCAGCAGGAAGAGCGGTGGAGACTCATTTTCCAAGTGGGGTCAAGAAATGGCCCACTGGGAACACGCAGAGCTGGGCACGAATGGGCAAATTTTGGCTTCAGAAAACTCTCTCCCTAAACTGCAGCCATCGCCGCCCACCATTGTATAATCTAGAAACCTCCAGATTTCTCCAGAAATTTCCATCTCGTCCCAGTCAACTTCCACCAATCCCCGGGGTCCCCTTGGCAAAGCAGGTCTGCCACCCACAAAGGAGAGAGGGAGGAGCTCAGCTTGGAACAGGCCCTGATTAGTAGCCACAGAGTGGAGGTGAGGCAGGCTGGCTGCTTCCAAAACCAGGCTGTGTGAGAGAGGGTGTGAGGTGCCTCCTTGCACCCCAGTATCCCCTGGACTGGACATGCTGCGGTTGGGCGGGTCGGGAATTGAATCCTGAGTAACGAACTTCTTTCTCTCTCACAGTCAGATGCAGTTGATACTGTGAGTTGAAAGGCGTAACTTTACATCGAACACCGTGCAGATTTCCCCTTGGTGGTTTTATTTGGGTGCATCTGCCAGCTGAGAACACTCTGGTTCTCAATTGTAACCCTCCTGTCTGCATGAGCATATTCGTGTCTATCCATCTCAACTAAAAAAATGGGAACATGGTCAATCATGGGATGGATAAGTAGCTGCTGGTCTATTCCTGCAAGGGAATACTACACAGTAATGAGAACAAACAACCCACATCTACACACTTGTCGCTTGAGTGAATCTCACAAACATAAGGATGAGAGAAAGAAGCCACATGAGTCCCCACTGTATAATTCCACTTATATGAAGTTCAAAGGCAGGTGAGACTGAACAGGTGCCAGAAATCAGAATTGGGTGGTGGTGGGGCACAGTGATGGGGACAGGACTTGAGGGGATTTCTGGGAGTGGTTTATCAGGCCCTAATTCTTAGTCCAGATGCCAGCTACACAGGGAGTTCGCTGTGTGAAATCTGTTGAGCTGTGGGCTTGTAACTGCACGCCTCTCTGGCTGTGTGCTGCCTTTGATAAAAGGTAAAAGAGAAAAGTCGGAACGCAGTAGAGCCTAGTGGTTCCCAACTAGAGACCCGCGCAGCAGGAAGGGGCGTTCGTTCCCCTAGCTGGGTTTTTCCATCAGGTGCTGACCCACTGACCACATCCCATCTGCATTTCGCAACCCTTGCCCACCACAGTTTTATGGAAATTATTATCAGACACTTTGCTGATATTTGTTAAAAGAGAAGGCTTGGTTGGGATGGGGGAGGTATGAAGCGGCCTTGGGAGAGGGAGATGAGAGGGAATTGCGTGAAGAAGATGGAGGGTGGGTCACCAGCCTCCCCAGGAAGGAAGATCAGTCAGGAGCCACCTGGCTGTGCTGCTGCTTGGAAACCAGCTGTGCTGGGAGATGGGCCAACGCGGGACATCACCACATTCTACCTTGGGATTTGCATAATTCATAGGTCAAGTTCTAGATATCTGAAGAGTGCTCTTTCTGAAACTTCTTACTTTTTAACAATACCCACAGTCAGAAGCGTGTTTTATATCGTAGACTGGTGCAAGGGCACACATGCTCAGCTCTGAAAACCACGTGATGAAACAGTATATTCTGTTACCCTGTCATTCTGATCCAGTCCGTTAAGACGACAATCCACCTGGCTCCAGTGTCCCCACCCCTGGCTGAATGCTTCAATGGACGGCCACGTGGGGAGCGTCAGGAGACCCAAACCGGTGCTGAGGGTGTGGGGACTGGCCCCCAGCCTTGATGCTGGGTCCTACGATGCCTGGTGATCTTGGGCCCGTCACCCACGCTCTCTGGCCCACTTCACCTGTGAGATGGGTGTCATAATCCTGGGCTGTAGGGTTGCCGTGGATGTTGAATAAGATTGTTCACAGAGCACCTGGGTAAGGCGTTGGGCAGCTGCATCCCCTCACACGTCTGCCCTCTGCAAAGCCCACCCAGGCCTAGGGCATGCAGCCCTGGCCGGACGACTAAGCAGAGCCTTGGGCACGACACGACACCCCCTTTCTCTGGGGCTTTCCTGCTCCAGGGATGAAGGCAAGGTTTGACCTCCCTCCAAAGTTACTGAGCTGAAAACAGAGGGCCTGGGCAGCCTCCACACACACCCTGCCAGCCGCGGAGCCGCCCGCTGTGGATACAGCCCCGGGTGCCCGGACTCACCACGGCAGCAATGTTTTCGTGGTAGTGCCTGTAGGTGAAGCCGTCTTGCATCGTGATGGTGGCCAGGGCCTCCAGGACCGAGGCGCTGAGATAAAAGAGGGCAGCGGTACAGTGGTAGGCTGCGTCCTGCGGGGCAGACGGAGCGTCAGAGGGATGGGGAGCGAGAGACGGGGCCCGGATGCAGAGCTGAGGTCCCCTCCACCCCCGTCCCTTGCCTCTCCCCCTACTTCCTTTGAATCTCACCCCTCCCAACCTTGTCACGGAGGTCCCATGCCTGCCCTGCTGCACTGAGTCTCACTTCACTGCCGTGGGGCCAGAGCAAGCATTTTGGATGGGACATGGGTCTCCCCTGAGGAAGGGTCAAGGGAGAGGTGGAGGAGGGGCCAGCAGCTTGGAGTGTCCCAGGGAAAAGCTCGTCCTGGATCCGAGAAGTGTCGTGCATGGCCACAGTCCAGCGTGGGTGTGGCCTCACTGACCAGTGCAGGATGAGGCAGGACCATGCTGTTGCTATTGTTTTGTTTTGTTTCATTGCTTATTTTTGGCTCCTGGTATATTTAAAAGCAAAAAAGGGCTGGGCGTGGTGGCTCACGACTGTCATCCTAGAGCTTTGGGAGGTTGGTGCAGGAGGATCTCTTGAGGCCAGGACTTGAGACCAGCCTGGGAAACATAGTTAGATCCCCATTTCTACACAAAACAAGAAATCTTAGCTGGGTGTGGTGGCACATGCCTGTAGTCCCAGCTACTCAGGAGGCTGTGGCAGGACCATCACCTGAGCCTGGGAGGTTGAGGCTGCAGTGAGATGAGATTGTGCCACTGCACTCCAGCCTGGGTGACAGAATGAGACGCTCAACTCAAAATAAAGAAATAAATGAAAGCAAAAAGGTACTAAAACAGGGTTTTATGTAGTTGTGATTTGGAAGTGATTTCGAAAGTCTAAGTAGCAGAGCTTTTGAGACTGACAGGCTTGGCCAAACGGCCCCACCACCCCTACAGCAGGTAACGGGTAAGTGTCCTACATGTAAAAGTTACCTTTTCGTGGCTCTCAAGGCAGAATTAATACAGAATAACGACCAAAGGCCACTTCTGTTTCCCTGTGCTCTGTGGCAGCCCTGCTTGGAGCTGGACAGTAACCATGGCCTGACCCTCAGAGCCAGTTTCCGGAGCCCAACACCTCGGTCAGCCTCCAGGGCCCTGCTCCCCTGAGATGAAAACCGCCCTCGCGGGTGATGGGAGGGGCAGGCAGGCACCTGGTGGGTACAGGTGGTGTGGGGGCTGGGCAGCTGGTTATCCATGGAAAGGCAGTCATGCGGGAGAACAGAACAGGTCCAACGAGGGTTGGCAGTGGAGACCTTGCCTCTGCCCCTGCCTCTCCTGATTCCGCTGCCGGGAGCCCTGGGCAGGCTCAGCCTTGGAACATGGTGGGGTGACGTCTACGGAGAAGTCTCACCTGGCACTGGAAAAGCCCACCCTACCGGGCCAGGGGCCAGTACTACTGCCGCCCCGCCCCCCACTACAGCCAGCAGTCGCCCTGGGCTGCACTCACCAAGGTGACCCAGGAAGTCTCTCCACCGTGGGCTCCAATTAGGTACAGGATGATCAAGGTGGTGGTGGCCACGAAGCAGAACACAGATACGAACATCACCCAGCCCTGGACCAGGGGCCAGGGCACCAGGGAGGAGGCCACCAGGATCCACACCAGGCCCCCGAAGATCTGCGGGGGAGGAGGAGGGGTGAGTTTCAGCCCAGAGGAGAGCCCCAGCCCAGGAAGGGCCCCCGAGCAGCGGTCACACGGGGTGACTGGGCTGCAAAAACCACAGGAAGCAGGCAAAGAGGACAGGGCAGGCATTTTCCTGTCCAAAAATGCATCTGTTGTCCCCGCAAGGCCTTGTGCTGGATCTCAATCCCAATCCCCAGCATGCCTGCTCTGAGTAACTTTTTAAACATTTTTTTTCTTGAGACAGAGTCTTGCTCTGTCACCCAGGCATGAGTACAGGGGCGTGATCTCGGCTCACTGCAACCTCTGCCTCCCGGGTTCAAGCGATTCTCATGCCTCAGCTTCCTGAGTAGCTGGGATTACAGGTGTGCGCCCCCACGCCCGGCTAATTTTTCTGTTTTTAGTAGAGACGGGGTTTCGCCATGTTGGCCAGGCTGGTCTGGAACTTCTGACCTCAGGTGATCCGCCCTCCTCGGCCTCCCAAAGTGCTGGGATTACAGGCGTGAGCCATCGCGCCCGGCCTAATTAACTTTTTAAATATGGATTTTATTTTTTATTTAACAAACACATCAGACCTGCATTCCAGGCACTATCCTACGCACTTTACAAATAATAACTCAGTGATACTCACAGCAACCCTATGAGTAATGCCGACCCATTTGCCAGATGAGGAAACTGAGGTAGGTGGAAGTTAAGTAACTCATCATTCTAAGAAAGTACTTATGCCATTTGGTATTGTCATGAGAAGGGCTGCTATTCCTTCTGATATTCTAGCCTTCCTACTTGCTTTGATATTAAAATGTCCTTTTTTTTTTAAGCAATGGTAGTGACCAGCAGATCTTTTTGGTCTTTATTTGGCAAAACAAATTAGCCACACTGTCAGTAGCCCTCTGGCCTCCCTTCCTTTGCTTCCCTCTCTCTCTTTTTCCTTCCTTTCTTCTTCCCCTCCCCTCCCTCCCTCCCTCCCTTTCTCTCTCTCTCTTTCCTTCCTTTCTTC